GTGCTATGGGATGTCCTGTAAGCTGTAAATATATGTTACTATGATTGACTGATAAATAAAACACTGATTGGCCAGTAGCCAGGCAGGAAGGATAGTGTAGGTGGGACAAGGAGGAGGAAAATTCTGAGAGGTAAAAGGCTGAAGCAGGGAGAAGCAGCCGGCCACCACGAAGAGAAGCATGATGTAAGATACCAGTAAGCCACGGGCCTTGTGGCAAGGTATAGATTTATTAAAAAATGGGTTAATTTAAGATGTAAGAACTGGATAACAAGGAGCCTGCCACAGCCAAACAGTTTATAAGTAATATAAGCATCTGAATAATTATTTTATAAGTGGGCTTTTGGACTGTGGGGGCTTGACAGAATCTGGAAAGAAACTCTGAGATTTGTCCTAACCATGGGCCAGGCAGGACCAGAAGCATTTCAACTACACATATTCGCGCGCGCGCACACACACACACACACACACACACACACACACACACACACACACACACACACATGAAGGGTTTCTTAATGGCATCTTCATTCAGGTACTTATTCACTCTGATTAGATTCGGGTTTACAGTCCTGTATTCCCCCTCCCATACCCAACTAGTCAGCTCCATTTTCCGAAGTATTTGTCAGGAACACTGGCCTGCAACTGCACAGATGGTTCAGCAGTTAAGAGCACTTGCTCTATCAGGGGCCCAGGTTTGGTTCCCGTCACCCACGTGGTGGCTCACAACCATGCATAACACCAGTTCCAGGGATCCAAATCCCTCCTCTGACCTCTGGGGGACATATATGGTGCACATATATACAAGCAGGTAAAACACTCATGCAATAGATAGATAGATAGATAGATAGATAGATAGATAGATAGATAGATAGACAGATAGACAGACACATAAATAAATAAATAAATAAATAAATAAATAAATAAATAAATAAATAAATAAATAAATAAATAAATAAATAAGAACATTAAAAGAACATTGGCCTGTGCTTTACTTTCTTGTTCAGTCCTTGTATACCCAAATCATGGCCCTTTAAATGCAGCTGCCTGAGGGCTAAACAACAGAATGGAATCATGATCCACTTGGATCCCAGAATGCATGTATAATGAAAATGTTGCATGATTATCCCCGTGTACATGAGATGATTACAGCAGTCAGTCTCACAAAGTCATGAGTAGAAAGGTGGGTGGCATAAGTGGGATGGAGGAAATGCGGATGGAGGAAATGATGGAGCTCATTTGGATGGATGTCATCTTTCACTTATATAAGCAGAATAACTTACATACACCTATGCACACAGGGCCTGTGCAAGATGTGGTAGTGTGCACTTTAAGTTCTGCTATGTGGACTGGCCTCAGCCAGTATTTCTGCCATAGAAAATAACAATGAGAGTCAGCAAAATGGCTCAAAAGGAAAATGCGTTACCATACCCGATGAGCTGAGTTCCCTCCTGAAATCACATAGTGGAAGAAAAGAACTGACTCCTATCAGTTGTCCTCTAACCTTCACACACGCACCATGGCGTGTGCACCCATATACATATACATTCACACACACACACACACACACACACACACCATGGCATGTGCACCCATATACATATACATTCACACACACACACACACACACACACACACCATGGCATGTGCACCCATATACATATACATATACATACACACACACACACACACACCATGGCATGTG